CTCACCCCACCACCCAGAGACCTTGGAAAGCATCTGTGAGCTGGATCTCTGGAGAAGGCCTCTGGTTGCCCCTCCCTGCTGGTGGCTTCATGGACTGTTTCAGAGGAGGCATTCCCACTACTGCTACTTCCTGGGTGACTGTGGGCAGGCCTGCTGAGATGCCCCGGCCTCAGTTTCCTCAGCTGGCATCACTGGCTAGCCATATGGTACCACCCTCCCGGGGCGGGGGGCTGAAATTGAGTGAATGGATGCAAGAAAGCCCTGAGTCACCCGCAGCTCTCACTGGTCACCATGAAATGATGCGGCCCGGGACTGCTGCTCAGGTGGCTTCTTGTACCCAAACCACCAAGACGACCCTTGGATGTCCCTGGACCCCGTCCATTCCAAGTCCAGCTTCAGGGCAGGACCCTGAAGGTCCCAACCTTTTCCCCAGGACAGGACGGGTCACCGTGTCCAAGAGAGTGAAGAGTGGCGTCTCTGTCCTGCTGCTGTCACGAGACAGAGGCCGAGGGCCGGAGCGAGAGGGCAGGCCGCGTCACTGTGGAGGCCACTCTGCAGGTGTGTCGGCCCATCTGCGCTCATCATGAGGCAACACAAGCAGGGTTTAAAAATACTAAGCTTATTTCATTTCAGCGCAGGAGCGAGAGAGAGAGCGTACAGCCTGTATGAGCAACTCAAATCAAAAATAAATGAGGCAAAAAGAGTCACCAAAAATAGTACAGCATAGGAGGCAGCAGCCCGCGTCCCTCGGCCAGCTGTCCCTGGCGAGCGGCATCACAGAGAGCGGCCGGGAGCCCGGCTTCCCATGTTTATTCCGGAACAGATTAATCAGGCCTGTGATCCGATGGTAGATGAGAATTCCGGGCAAAGTCAAAGGCAGATAATGGCTCCAGGCACACAGGGCCTCTGGGCATCCTCCCCTTGGCGCCTGGCACCCCCCCGAGCAGTGGGCCAGGCCACGGGGTCAAGTCTGCCCTTCCTGACCCAGAATGCGCCCACAGAAGGGTGGGCCCCAGCTCCCTGCAAAGCCGAGCTGCCAGCGCCGTAGACCTCATGAGGGTCCATACCTTTTGTCTTGATTTCATCACGGAGAATGCCACCTTTTTTTTTAATGTCACAGATCAGAGTTTTACAAACTGCTCCAGCCCACCACCTGTTTTTATAAATAAAGTTTTATCAGAACCCAGCTTTCCCATTCATTCACATACTATCGCTAGTTGCCTTCGCACAGCTTTGCAAAGACAGACCGGCTGGCCCACCAAGCCTAAAATACGGGCTCTCTGGCCCCGAGCTGCCCGCGCTTGTGGTCTCCCACCCTAGACGCTTTTCATCATATGCTCGAGCACCCTGGGCAAGTGGCCCGTCCGCCTACAGCCAACCGTCGGTGGCAGGGTTTTGTTAGGTGCTGTGTCTGTGCTGATGTTGGTTTAGGTTTTAGAGGTGTTGTTTGGGGAAGGAAAAAAAAATTCTGCAATAATTAGGTTGGGTTCTCTAAGGTGAGGAACAAGGTTCGGGCAGGCGTGTTTGCATCACACAACTAGACTCAGACCCCACTATGGAAAGAGAGCACGCAGGGCCCTGAGGGACCTTGCACTGGGCAGGGGGGTCCCTTTCCCTGTGCCTGGGTCCGGGCTCTGCAAACCTTCTCTACAAAGGTCTGGAGAGCAAACATTTCAGGACTGCAGGTGACACAGTCTCTGTCGAAACTCCCCTGCTCTGCCACATGGCGTGAAAGCATTCGTGGACAAGCACAGTGTTGAATTCATGTGTTAAGCACCCCCCACCCCCGGCCCTAGTGTGGTGGTATCTGGAGGCAGAGCCTTTGGGAGGTGATTAGGATTCAATGAGGTCGTGAAGGTGGGGCCCCCTGATGGGACCAATGCCCTTATAAGATGCTGGTGAGACCCCAGCAAGCTCACTGTCTACCACCCAAGGACACAGCAAGAGGCCTGGCTGGGGACCAGGACTAAGGCCCTGAAAGTCCTGCACCTTGATCTTGGAATTCCAGCTTCCAGAACTGCGAGAAAGAGCTGTCTGTTGCCTCCACCCCCTGGCCAGTCCCTGGCATCTTGTTATGGCAGCCAGAGCAGACCAAGACAACAAATGACCATGGCTCTGTGCCAGTAAAGCTTTATTTATGGACACTGAAATCTGAATTTTATATAATTTCCATTCCCATGAAATATTCTTCCTTTGTTTTTCTTCCAACCCATTTAAAAACGTGAAAACCACTCGGAGCTCACAGGCCACGCAAACCCAGGTGATGGGCCGGATTGGGCCCACAGAGCCTTGCCAAACCCTGTCCCAGAGCAAGGAGGGGGCCTCCTCTCCTCCCTCGCTGCTGACCACAGCCCAGATGCTTCTCTCGGTTCCATGTGCCTTGAGGGCACACGCTTCTCTCCCGGAGGGAGCCTGCTCCGTTCTCCGGATGATCCCGAAGGATGTCAGCAGAGCAAACTGAAGGACGTGACCTTGGAGTTGATGTTCCAGAAAGAGGCCATACCCAGGATGGCCCGTTAAGTGCCCAGGCTCTGAAGTCAGACCCTCAAGCATCCCATCTCTGCCCTTGCACTTGCCCACCAGCGGACTTGGGCCCAGTGTCCTCGCCAGCACGATGGAGTCGCCCAGCCGCCTTTAAGGTTCTGTGAGGGTTCTGTGTGATGGCCAAGCATGTGCCATGATGTTGGCCCCAATTACATTGATGAAGTCAGAAGCCTCGTGGGGAAACAACGAAAGATGTGGCAGGTGAGGGATGCCAGGTGTGTCTGCCGTGAGTCACAGACACTGCGTTTCTTCGTCTCCAGGGAGCAGAAGTGGGCCTAGTGGGTCTAGTTACAAGGACAGCGATTTCAAATCAACACAAAAAGGATCTCTTCCATCATTCGAGTTGTCCCCAGGGGACTCATCTGCTGGGAGTTCCCCGTGGGTGGAGATTTTCGGGAACACCAGCGTGGGGATCTCACAGAGGGAACCCGAGTCTCCATCACCCTGGACCTGAGCCTCCGCCCCTGATGCTGGGAGAGTCTGGGATGCAAGAGACCCGTTCTGCTACCCCTGGGGAACCTGCCTCCCTCCAGGGTTCTGGCCCGAAGGAACACCAGTTAAATCAAGGCAGCACCTGCCCCTTACGTTGTGGAAGTACCCAGGACCACTGTGAGGCTTCCCCTTCACGGGAGAGTATTTTTGGTGCTCCCAGGACCCGTCCGGTTTCGATGTTGTTCCGTGGTTGAGTCACGGGGGACAGTATCCCACTAGGGCCTTTGCGGTGCCACCTCCTGCCCCCCAATCCTGCCGGAGGCTCCCCCGAGCCTCCAACATTACTCCTGCTGCAAATGGAGGCAGAACCTGGTTGGCAGCCTCCTCCATGGGATAGAATGTTCTAGAAGACTCTACCCCTTTCCATCAGGAAAGCAAACTTTTCCTGGAAGCCCCACCCTCCAGGGCTCTGCCAGTGGACTGTCCCAGGCCCCCCTCGCCGGAAGGCACTTCAGGAAGCGAGGCTCACGAGTGGTGGTCGGGCCAGTTGGCAACCCTACCGCCGTGTCCATCGATGCGGCTTGAATGTGGGGCCCAGATTCATCGGCCCGGAGAGGAGCCGCTCCTGGACTCAGTGGGCGTGTCTAAGGCCGCCTCTATTTCGTTGTCCTCTGCCTTAAACGTCCGAGGTACAGATGGGACAGACACTGAGGGCCGGATGACGCTGAGCTGTGAGGCGGCTTCCCTGTGTCTGGAAGAGGTGAGGCTGCAGGTGCGCCTGTCGCTCAGGAAGTTCCACATTCGCCCGCTGGCGGGAGATCTGTGTTTTGTTTTGTTTTGTTTTGTTTTTAGATTTTATTTATTTGACAGAGATCACAAGCAGGCAGAGAGGCTGGCAGAGAGAGGGGAGGGGAAGCAGGCCCCCGGATGAGCAGGGAGCCCAATGTGGGGCTCCATCCCAGGACCCTGGGATCACGACCTGAGCCGAAGGCAGAGGCTTAACCCACTGAGCCCCCCAGGCGCCCCTGACCTGTGATTTAAGAACTAAGTGTCTCCCACGCAAGTACAGCCCTGCCCAACCCTGCTTCGCTTCCGAGACCACACGAGACCGGGTGCGTTCGGGGTGGTATGACCAAGCGCCCCGAGCTGATGACTCCTCCCTTCTCTCTTCTCTTCCCCATCACCTCGTCTGTGTCCTAAACCTGCTGGGGACCCTTAGCAGCACCCCCGATCTGCTGCACACAGGCCAAGCTGGCTGGCTCCCTGCCGAGACTTACAGCCCTGCGCCCACCCCTGGGGAAGAGGGAGCCCGCTCCTCTCCCCAGGACCGTGGGTAAGGGGCTGACTGGGCCTGCACCTCAGCAGAGCACAGGGGAGGGGGTCTGCTCCGTCTAGGTCCTGCGTTGGCCTCGCTCTCCTCCAGCTGAGGGTTCTCCCTGGGAAGGAAGAGCAGAGCAGGCAGAGGCTGGAGGGAGATGGTCCCCTCCCAGCTGACCTCCCAGGCCGCCCCACCCACACACCACTCACGGGCACCTGCTGCGTATCCTGGCACGGCGTTGGGACCTAGGAGAGGAGACGGGTGAGGCAGAGCCCCACAGGGCTCAGAGCAGAGTTCTGGAGTCTATCCGCCCTGGGTTTGAATTCTAGCCATGGGCCTGACCGTTGACCCTCCATGTCATCATCTGTAGACTGAGGGGAGCAGCAGGACCTCTTGGAGGGCTTGGGGACGCAGGTGAAAGGCCTACAGCCCGGCACTGGCAGAAAGCTGGGGCCAAGAAGCAGGACCCCTGTGACATCACCAGTGCTGGCTGCACATCTGTCCCTCTCCCTCCCTGAGAAAGGGCCCCACTACTAGCCTGTGGGTGTCCACCTCATGTTCCGGAGGGAGGAGACACACCCGTGTGCTTCCCCTTCTCACAGCCCCTGCCCTTTCCCCCCGAGAAGTCGCTGTACCATCAAGAAGGTTGGGGTGTCAGGGGCCTCCCTCCAGCACGCCTGTGAGTGGAGGCCACACCCCAGCACCTCCGGGGGGGCCCCCCCCGCTTGCCAGGCATCCTCCCACACGCGCTGCCACCGACTTCCTGGTTCGCCCTGCGGTCCCGCGCCTCGCCTCGCGCACGAAAATGGTCTTATCTCAGGAGCAGGTACCTGGGGGGTTTCAGGGATCCTGTTCCCTGAGTGGGTTTTGTGCTCAAGGGGGTGGGCACGTCAGCTCCCTGAGCAGGGCTTAGAGCTCCCCTGACAGCCCCGGGGTAATCAGGCCAGGCAGCCCCCCTGGGCCCCACGCCGGCACAGGCCTGGCTGCCGCTGGGAGGGGAGCTGTCCCTGCAGAGGCCTGGCTGGACCCAGGCGGAGCCCACGTGGCCATCTATCGCAGCAGCTCAGGCCGAGCAGCTACAGGCGTCCTCCCAGCCCAGGGACACGGCAGGCCCCCCACAACCAAGCGGCTGCTAGGGCAGGCAGGGGAGGGTGCGGGTAGCATCGCGGGCTGGCACCCAGCAGAGGTGTCGAACGGAGACAGCTCTGCTGGGAGCTGCTGGCGTCTGCTTTCATCCCTGGAGCAACAAGACAGGAGCCGCCTGGAGATCAGAAGCACTGTGGGGCCACCTCTGTCCCGCCGTTGGGGGAGGGGTGCCACCAGTTGTCACGCAACCCCTGCAGGCTCCTGGAGGGATCCCTGCCCACCTGCTGTCCCCTGAGCCCCCGGCCAGGGATCTCCCACCTCAGAGTGGAATGTAGTTTCCCAGGCAGAAGTGAGGGTCCCTGCCTTAGAAATAAGTTAATGGGTCCCCACCCCTCTCTCCTGCAGAGCGGAAAGCAGAGGGCAAAGGGGAGGGCAGCTGGAGGACCCTATGGAGCCCTGTCTTGGAGGGACAGCGGTCACCATGCGGGGAAGGAGGGCAGGGCTGGTCAGGGAGCTTCCTGCGGCTGAAGCAGCTTCCTCCCTACCCAGAAAAGCCGAGTCCTTTCTGGAGAGCATCCCCCTCCCCCACTGGCTCTCTTTTCCAGTTTCCTGCCAGGACAGGATATGGGTGCAGGGTGTGGTCATGGTGGGAGTTCAGGGTGGCTGGACAGAGGTGGCAGGAGGGCCCGTGAGCGTCCCAGGGTGGGCCGGGAGGGCTACAGGGCTTTGCTCAATGAATGACCGAGGACAGACCTGTGGCTACAAAGATGCTGGAGCCCAGAGCACTCAGGGGCTTGTTTCCTACATCTTGCCCTGACTGGCTGCAGCTCTCAGGCTCCCTCTGCCCAGGCACCCGGGGAGGGCGCTGTTCCATTTGTGGTTCACAGGCTCAGGATGGAGCCGGGGTGCCACTGCGCCCGTGGTCCCAGCTTCCATGTCCTCTTGGGGAGGGAAGGCAGTTGTTCCCAAGACCGGGGGCTTTTGGCCACAGAGCCTGGCAGGCCCCCATCCGTCACTGTGCACACCCCGGAGGCTTCTGCTTCAGCAGGGAGCCACCCGCTGGCAGGTGCACGAGAAGCAGGTGTGGATCTGGGTGGGCTGCATGGGGGGAGAGGCATTTCAGTGTTGCTTTGGGAAAGTTGGAATTTGGGGGCCATGATGTTGTTTTTTAATTGTGGCACTAATGAGACACGAATGGGGCCTCTGCCTGCAAGAGTGTAGGCCTGAGCTGAGCCCGGTGCTGGGCTGGCCTGTTTGTCATCAGGGGATAAGCGTTGGAATGTTGCTTTGAGAAGACTGAAAAATTCTAATCTGCCATCTTTTCAAGGAGTTCTTTTTTTATATAATCTTTTTTTTTAAGATTTTATTCATTTATTTGACAAAGAGACACAGTGAGAGAGGGAATACAAGCAGGGAGAGTGGGAGAGGGAGAAGCAGGCTCCCTGCCAAGCAGGAAGCCAGATGTGGGGCTCAATCCCAGGACACTGGGATCAGGACCTGAGCCAAAGGCAGACAGTTAACAACTGAGCCACCCAGGCGCCCCTTTCCAAGAAATTCTAACGGGAACTCCGTGGCTTGGTCCCAGTGCCTCTCCTGCTGTCCGACCATGTGATGTCCACACTGTTGACAGGTCCCCCGGCTCAGGACTTGGAGGAGAAATGGGGGTGTCTCTGCAGCAAGGAGGAGGGCGTCCTGGCCGTGGCGGCCTGCCTATAGTAATTAGTCACTGCTCTCCCTGCCCCCCACCTGAACCTGAGCATGATTTGTTGATGCTCCCCGGGAAGGGGCCGGTGGATCTCCCCACTGCCCCCTCCGGGCCCCTCCCCCCAGCGGCCCAGGGCCACCCCTGCAGTGACCTGGCCTCTCTGCTGACTCCCAAAGGTGACCCCACAGCCAGAGGTGATCCCCCTGTGCACTCAGACTCAGGCCTTCGGTGGCGGCACTCCCTCCTGTGCCCGGGGAGGACTGGGGTTTCGGCTGGCGGCACCCTGCTCGTGGAACAGAGAGGAAGGGTGTGTTGCGCAAGCTCCCTTCTGGATCTGGCGGTTTTGAGTGGTTACGCCCCTTCCTGCCTCTCCGCGGGGCGCGCCGGCTGCATGGCTCCTGCAGCTTTAGCCCCGTGACAGGTGGCGGTTTCCTGCCACGCGGTAGTCATAGCGCAACTCCCGGGCTTCGGCGGGAAGGATTTCCAGCTTTCGAGAAGCCCCAGCTTCTCTCTCTCAACCCCTCCCTCCGGGCGAGGCCATCAGCCTTAGCGTGAGAGACCCAGGTGGTGAGGAGGGGGCCCCTGCTCACCTCTGTGTGTGTGTGAGACCTCTTAACCCCCCAGCCCAGCCACAACCGTAGGAGAGCCCCCCGAGCCAGACCTGCCTGGCCAGGGCAACCCCCAATTCCTGACTTTGCAAAACCGCGTGAGAAATCCTCGTTGTTTCCCGTGTGACCCATGGCACATAGCAAGGAGAACTCCTACAGTGTTGTAATTCCTAAGACCTTAGCTCTGTGCGGACGAGCCTTCCAGAACCTCCGAGTTTCCAAGATGATCAGGAATTGGGAGCCGCCGCAGAGGGCCCAGGGAAGACAGTGCCCGTCTGGACACCGAGTGGTGGCTGTGTGTGGCCGGTCACACCCACCAGAGACTCGCCTTTTTCTGGGAACGTGGAAGAGAGCAGCAGCCCCTGAGAACACAGCGGAGAGGCAGCAAGGGAAAGCAGATGTGGTAGCAAGTCCAAGGACCCTAAACAGTGCTTTTCTGGAAGGTGAAACCCCCACCTAGGAGCAGGCTGGGGCACGTCTGTGCAGGGACAGCTGCACTCGCCTGTGCCCGTGGTGCAGACATCCCGGGCCCTGGGCCAGCACCTGCCCTCCGCCAGGACCAGACACAGGAAGACCCCAGCCCGTGGCCCCCACAGTGCGCCCCCACTGGTGGGCACGTCGGATCCTGCCCAACCCCCCTCATCCTGTTTCACAGATGGAGAAACGGGCGCTTAGGAAGGTGGGAAGATTTGCCCGTGGTCATCCGCCAGATCCGAACCCACCTGGGCCTCTCCTCCCTCCCTGACACCTGGAGTCGCCTCCTCAGGACACCCGACAGGGTGGGCTTGTCATCAGACCGGCCCTGGAGGAGGGCAGGCCTGTGCATGGTGGCCCTGGGCAGGTTTCATGTTAGAAAGTCACCCAAGGCTCAAAGTGCTAACTTCACACCAGGAAGTCTGGCTCAAGGAGGGTTCCGCCGCCCTACTTTTCTTGTGCTCCTGACCCTACTGTAGGGAGACAGCGGGAGGCCTCTTCAGTGACCGGAAGTCCCCCTCACAGCTCACCAGAGTCTGTCTTCCTGTGATGAGGGTGGCCCTGAGGTTAAAACCAGCAGAACGTGCCCCCAGGAGGGCAAAGTCACCTTCCACATAACGGTCCTGGTGGCAGGTCCTGCGTCCCACAGCGGCCGGTGGTGCCCAGTCCAGGCCAGGCAGCCCTCACGCATGCAGCTGTCCTCTCTGGACCGGCAGAGTGGTCCGGGGCGCGTCCGTCCCTGGCAGAGGCTGAGGCTGGAGCTGACTGACAAGTTGTCGCTGCTCATCTCCTTTGGCTAAAGCACGTGTGAGCGAGTGCGGGAGAGAAGAGGCGATGAGAGGTCAGGGGAAGGCGTGCCAACGAGACAAAATGCCGACCGTGCAAGGACGGGGTGGGAGCTGTGCTCATTCTTCACAACTTTCGTGACGTTTGCAAGTTGTCAGAAGAGTGAGCCGAGAGCCGCAGTGCCCACAGGTGGGGCCCCCAGTGCCGAGTCGCCATTGCCAGCCGCCCTTCCCACAATGACGGAGAGCTAGGACTTACCCAGCATCCTCCCTCTGGAGCGCCAAGCGTTTTCATGTCCTCTTCTCTCTCTCCTGTGAGGAAGCACGGGCCGGCATTCATGAGGCTCTGTGCTTGGATTTCTCCGAGAATGACCCAGGTGGCTTGCTCAGGGTCACACACAGACCAAGAGGAAGTGCTGGGGACAGGGGAACCCAAGTGCAGACCCACAGCCCATCCTCTGAGCCAGTTGTCCCTTCTGGGCCCAGCCGGTTCTCGGGTCCAGAACTGCCCTTTTGAGGACGGGGCAGCCCTGCCCGCCCGCCTCCCTCCCGCCCCCCCTCCACGGTGCCTGGGATTGGCAGATCCTGCAGGACGGGGGCTTCTCTGCGATCGGCCGCTGGGCACGTGTGGTCTCTCCTGGCTGAACTGTGGCTGCTGCAGAGGTGGGGGCTCTGGGCAGGTCAGAGGAATGCAGTCCCCCTCCCTCCCCTGGCAGGTGGCCAAGGTGCCAGCTCCCCGGGCGAACGAGGTTGTCCCTTGTGCAGTGGGCACCAGAGCCCGGCCAGCACCTGGCTGGGAGCCAGGGAGCTGGCTGCTGGCTCAGAGGGAGCCTGACCATCAGGAGTCCAGGCAAGGCAGAGGCGATGAGTGGGATGTGGCCTTTTCTGGGACACGTCCCTCATGTCCCTGCTGGCAGCCCAGAGCGCCACTTGTCCCTGTCCCTGTTGCTGCCCTGAGCACCAGGCATGGGACAGACAGATCACTACACCCTGCAGAGGAGATGGAGAGATGCCCGCAGGACCGTTGAAGTGATGAGTCTGGGGTCTGGGGTCTGCGGAACGATGGGGTCTGGAGGAATAACCACAGGGGTCCCGGCGCAATCACACAGGTCAGGGCCAAAAGATGGGTAGAAGTCTGAGCAACCTCATGAGATGGAAAAGAAAAAAGGCTCAGAGTCAGAGAGGTGAGCCGAGGAAGCCAAGGAGAGTGGGAAGAAGCCACGGGAGGCAGGAGAGGCCAGACGGCGTGGGTCCCAGCAGCCCCGGGGGGGGTGGTCAGCCAAACTGTGGGCACCAGCAGACTTAGCAACAGGAAGGTCACAGTGACCTTGGCAAGAGCAGCTTCCTCTGAGCGGGGAAGGCAGAAGGGAGACTTGCAGGCAAGAAAGGACAACTCTTCTGAGGGATTTTCCTGTGAGTGGGATGGGAGACATAGGGCAGCTGGAGGAGGAAGCGGATCCAAGCAACTGTGCTGTGTGCCTTTCGAGACGAGAGAAGTTACAAGTGCCTGTCCACAGAGGGACGGGGTGCTCGAGTGGGGCTGGAGTGGGGTGTGTGCTCAGGGGGAACGCCGTGGCCGTGGCCGTGGCGGGGTCGTCTGGATGGCAGCAGCCGGGGAAACAGGATGTTCCAAGAGCTGACGTCGGTCGTGGGGGAAGCTGGCCTCTGGTGGCTTCCATTCCATCGGTGGAATGGGAGCAGCTCAGCCCGGAGCTGAGAGGCGCTGGGGAAGGCGCCGTCCGGGAGAGCGGGGAGAGCAGCCTCCAACCAGCCTCAGCCACCTTCGGCAGCGAAGCCAGACGGTGCGCTCAGTGCCGCTGTGCGGCACAGACGCAGGACGGTTCGGACCCGAGTGGGCAATTCCAGCAGCACACCTTGTTTACAGAGATGGGCCGCGGGCCGGACTGGCTCTGTTGTTGGTTGTCCGCCAGTTCCTGCTCCAGGACCCGCCATCCTCAAAGTGTGGTCCCTGGACCAGAAGCGCCAGCGTCCCCGGGGGGCCTAGTCAGAGATGCAGGTCCTTGGGTGCACCCCACCTCTGCGGAGCCAGAGACTCTAGGTCCCTCCACCGTCTCGAATTCAGATTGATCCTGTGATCCTGGAAGTCTGGAATTTCAACACCCCTGGGTGCCCATGCTGGGGACCGAGACCCCGCGGGCAGGGCCCCGTGTTGTACAGGTGGCCTCCAGTACCTGCGCACGGTAGGGCCTCAGCAGACACGCTGTGCACCAGTGAACCCACCACCGTCTGACTTACGGTTAAAGACTTCAGGGAATGGTTGGGTTTCATGCCAAGTGACCTGGCTGAGCACACCCCAGGAGCGCCTAATGGGCACAAAGGAGAGGCCCGCCCACCCTCAAAGCTGAGGGACCCAACGCCCCCGGGGCTGCGTGACCGACCTCTTTCTGCGGGAAAGGCGCTGAGCCTCGGGTCAGGCTGGGGGAGCCAGGCTGGTCCATCTGGTGACTGTGACCCTGGTGGAACCCCAGGGTTTGAAAGAAAGGTGACCAGGAGGCCTTCAGGGTCTGCCCGAAGCCATTCCACCAGGAACAGATGGACAGGGCCCTGCGGACAAGGGCCCAGGAGAGGGCAGCCTGGGTTAGGGCACTTGCCGCTCGTGAGCAGTCCCCTGAGAAGCCCGAAGACTGGATTCAACATCCCCCGAGAATCCACCACATTTCTTTTAAGGATTTCCGTGTCCTTTCACTTCCTTTGTCATTTCTTTCTCAATGAGGTTTTTTTAAAGAATACAACTTTGGGGACCTTCATGGACCCCATCATTTCTGTCATTTCCACAAGGCTGTGACTCTAGGGACTCTGGCTTACGTTCTGTGTCCCCATTTTCCCAGCGTGTTCACACACATGCGCACGCCCCTCACTCAGAGGGGAGCTCGGTGAGGAGAGAGACAGAACCCATATCTCGTACAGAAGCCCCGGCCAGGGGGTGGGGCGTGTCCAGAGGAAGCCGGCTTCCTGCCGACCGGAGGTCCTTGTCCTGAAGGGAGGAAGAGTGAGGTGAACAAGCCCTCTAGACGGGCATTCAGCAGTGAAGCCCCACTGGGGGCAAGCGGGGCTGTATTTTGAACCCAGACCATCTCTTTGCCCATTGGCACAGGGCAAGGTGATTTTGGATCAGGAACCATCACTCTTTTGGGAGCCACATATTAAATCCCGACTGAGTTCCAAACCCTGTTTTAGGCACAGTGGCAAAACCAGCAAAATTTCTGTCCTGGTGGAGCTGGCCCTCCGGAGAGAGTCAAACCTCACAACTCAGGGACAGATAACAAGAAGGTCAGCTTGTGCTGACCACATGGGACAGCAGGCAGGGTGCCTGGAGAGAATCCCAGAGCTCGACAGTCCGGCAGGCTCCCCAGGGAGGCCCAACAATGAGAAGGTCTGTCGGAAGGGTATTCCAGGCAAAAGGAACTGTAAGTGCAAAGGCCCAGTGGCAGGTGTGCACTTGGCCTATGGGAGAAGGGAAGAAAGGGGTGCATGACTTAATCTCCTTTAGAAGTAATTGCCCCTGGCTGCCAGGGGGAAGCAGGGAGCACAGTCAGGAGACTGACCTGGTGGTTCAAGTGACAGATGATGATGGCTCGCCCTGAGGGTAGCGGGGGTTGGGGGGGGGCAGTAAATGGACCAATGTGTCTGTCGGTATTCATTATCAATTGCTGTGTAAAATATGCCTGCAAACTTAGGGACGTAAAACTCTTGGTTTCTCTGGGTCAGGAGTTCAGTTAGGGCTCTGCTACGTCTGCTGCCTCGCAAGCCTGCAGCCAAGGGGTTTGGCCAGGGTTATGGTTTCATCTGAAGGCTCGACTGCGGGAGGAAACTCAGAATTCCAAGTCCACACGGTTTGAAGGATTCCCTTCTCTGTGGGCAGTTACACTGAGGGCCTCCGTTCCTGGCCCCACGGCCCTCTCCAGCTGTGGCAGCTTGCTTCTCAGAGCCAGCAAGGGAGGGAGTCTGCTAGCCAGACAGAAGGCACTGTCTGTGTCACCTGATCACGGAAGTGATATCCTGTCACCTCTGCCCTGACCTGTGGGGCGGGAGGAGGTCACACCCAGGGGGAGGGCCTGAGTCCCAGGAGCTGGGGTTATCTGACCAGCTGCCTTCCTGAAAGCTGAACAGTGACACCAGCAAGCCCTGGGCCAGGGTGGGGGGAGCTGAAGCATCAAGGATGAGTCTGGGGGACGGTGGTGCCACTTCCTGGGACAGCGGAGATGGTCCAAAGTTCTCAGGTTTTTTTAAAGAATACAACGGAGACGGTCCAAAGTTCTCAGCCCACCGATGCCCCCTGGGACCAGTAGAGAAGGGCTCTCAGAACCTCAGGAAGGCAGCTGGGAGTCAGAAGAATCTCATGAAGCCCAGGGATGGGAGAGTAGAAATCCCTTACAGAGCCGATGACCCCAACCATCAGCTTTGTCTGAGCCCCCGTGGGCTGGTCTGTCTGTCTGTCTCACGAGGGACATACGGATGCCCAGCAAACTGGGCCTTCGCCGTCACAGAGCGTCTGGGGCAAACCCAACTGGTCTTTTGAACCACCTCCCCTCTACTCTGCTTTTCCTCCAGAATCTTCCATCTGTGAAGAAGAGAGCAAGTCGGGACCAGTGAGGCCAGGCCCCATGTATCCGGAATCGACCACGGGCTCCCCAGCTCGGCTCTCTCTGCGACAGACGGGCTCCCCCGGCATGATCTACAGGTGATCCCCTGCCCCCGACCCACACAGGCCAGTCTCAGACTCGGTCTTGCCTCTGAGAAGGGACCCCCGAGGCCAGTCACCAGCCCTGGATCCAGAGGGAAGGACCAAGGGAGGCCCACAGGGCTCTGAGGTACAGGTCAGCAAGAGCTTTCTCTGAGGGAAGGAACGGAAGCTTTTAAAACCCCAGATTGTACTGGTGGAGCAAAGCCAGGGTGAGACTTGTCCCCGACTCTTCTGAAGGATTCTGTTGGAGGCACAGGCCTGGAAGTGAGGGGGGCCCTCCCCAGCTTCTCTGTCTTTCTTACACGCCCCGACTTGTGCAGCCTCCTTTGAGGGAGGCTCAGAGCCTTGCATTGGGGGGTGGGGGGAGGAGCGGCCAGCGGCTCACCGGGCACCCTTGCCTTCCTTCCGTGGAGGCCAGTTCCAAATCCAGCTCTGGGTCTTTCCGTGTGGAGAGCAGCCCCGGCTGAACCACGGGGAGAGAAGGCGTTGGTCGGATGACAGCTGCTGCCCCACGCATGGAGCCCAGGACCCAGACAGCCGTGGCCGTCACGAAAGATGGGCCGGGGTGGGACCCCAGGGGCCCATGAGCCCTTGATGGGTTGGGCCTTCCTCCGTAATCGTGAGGGCCTGACCCAGAGCGAGTATCCGTAGAACCCACAGGGAAAGGGGGCGTCCCTCCTTGATCAGAATCCTGAAAAGAACGCTGTGGTCCCAGGCAGTCTCGCCAGTGTGTGGGGGGATGGGCCACGCCTCGGCTTGAGGGTTTTGTACGGTCATCCTAGAGCATATTTCCTTAAAACCCAGACTGTCGCTCAGAGGTTTACCTCGTCTTCGCGCCCCTGCCCCCGTGTGGGAACGAGGCAGGCTCGGGGCGGACCTGCCTGCGTCCACCAAACAGACCGGGCTTCTGCCTCCGCGTGCCACTGGGTGGCGCTGCCGCTGAGCACTTTGTCCCCGGGTGCACGGGCGGAGCTGGGTGGGCGGGCTGTGGGGTGTCGCTGCTGCTTCCTGGGGCCTGCACCTCCCTGCGGCTAACGCCCACTGTGGACTCTCTCTCTCTCTCTCTCCTTTTTCTCTGTCTTCCACCGCTGTCCGCAGTACTCGGTATGGGAGCCCCAAAAGGCAGCTGCAGTTCTACAGGTAACAAGCCCCCCGCTCCCCCCACAGCTTGCTCGCGGAAGGCAGGGGTGCGGGCGGGAGGGCCGTGCCCATCCAGCTCGCGGCGCCGGTGAGACTCCCCAGTAAGACAGGCGCTGGGGTCCTCTGCCGGTGCCTTCCGCACCGCGTTATGTGATGTCCCGATGCATGCCGTGAAGCCGGGATCCTGGTGTGTGCCCCGTTCCAGAATCCGCTTGGATTGGAGCAAATGGCCTGATCCCTGCTGAGCTCACCCTGATCCGCCTCACACTCTCACTTGTCCGCGGCGGAGGCCGCACGCCTGTTGTCACACATCTGTTGTCACATGTCTGTTGTCGCGGGTGTGTGCTTCTTGGGTGATCCGGGTCAACGAGGTGGGAGGCAAACCCAGCTCAGACGCTTCTCTTTGGGTCTGAGCTGATTTGGGATCAAAGGGGCAGTTCAAGGCCAATGCATTCTCGGGGGCGTGGGGCCGCCGTGTGACCTGGGTCGGGGCTGGACCTGCTGGCATTTTCTGGGGCATCTCCTGGGTGGTGGATGGGCACACCCTGTTCTTCGGTGCAAGGCTGCGCCCCACAGGTACATGGTCTCGAGGGGCCCTGGCTCACAGCCCAGGCTGAGGCAGGTCAGCCAGCAAAGTCCTCCCGGGCTTGTCCCTTCCTCCTTTGGGCAGCTCAGCTGTGGCGTGGGGAGGCGCGCCACAAAGACACGTGCTTCTCAGGCAGTCTGTAACTGCAGGAATTTATTTCAGCAGATGTTTTCCTCCTGTCGGGAAAGTGTCAATGTTAAGCATGACACAGGTCAGCCCCGGGGCTGTGGGGATTCGGTATGGCTCTCGGGAGCAGAGCCCTGGTGTGTCGTGTGTGCCTCGGCATTCAGAGCTGGGAGGTCTCTCTCTAGACCAGCTCCCCGGGGCCATGCCCACCTGCTGGTGCAGAGCGGGGAGCCGGTTATCACCATTGCGTGGGGAATTGAGTGCTGGGGCCGGCAGCCCCTCCCGCAGCCTCAGCACCTGTGAGCATGGCCGTGGGCCTGTGTCCTCGTGCTAATTTCACCTCCCCTTCAGTGCCTCCCATGGGGTCTCACTCCTTCCAGAGAGCCCCGAAGACATGACTGAAATTTTTGCTGGATAAGATTTTACCTGAAATAGAGCGGAAGATGAGATTTTACCTGAACTGGTTAGAGCTGAACTTGGGCTTGCAAAGGCTTTTATGGGATGACACGTGAGCCATCATGTAGGTGGGATGGCGTCATACGTCAGAACATAGACAAGACATTCACCCCAGGAGGATTTGACCAATGAGACCAAAGACCCTGGAGGAGAGGAGCGAGATAGCGGGCAGCAGAATGGCAGCCCAGACTGCCAGCCGGAAGGGGCCCCCAGGGCAGGGGCCGAGAATTGTGGGGTATCACAGAGCTGAAGCCAGAGAGGATCCCATAGCCCTCGCTGGCCCTCAGGGCCTCACAGATCCAACCTGTTGTCCACTCCCAGGGAACCCTCTGTCCTGCCCCGAGGCAAGCTCTGTTGGAGAACCGCCCCCGAGACGCTCAGACCTCCATCCGGGCCTCCCAGCAGCGAGTTCCCCCACCCCCGGACTCCGGCCGCCCCACCTTTTGCGTCTCCGGTGTGGTGTCTTCTCGTAGACACTCGGTTTCTCTTGCAGGGTCTCTGACGATGACCTCTCATGACATGGTACCTTTGTTTAATGTCCTGGGTGCCACTCCCAAGGGGGCGTCCTGGTCGTCTGGGCCCCGACTCAGCGGCCCTAAGAGAGTGAGGTCAGTCGGCATGTGGTCCCTCCCCTGATAGGGCAGAGACATTTGAGGTCCTGCCCTCCAGCAGCTCACAGACTGTAAGGGAGGCGAGACCCTGTGTCTGTCCGCTGTTCCGGCGAACGGCGCGTAACAAACAACCTCCAGGCTCGGTTCCCTGCAACAGGAAGCGTGTGTTTCGTGCAGGCTGGGCTCCGCTAGGTTTGCTCTGAGCCGCAGGTGGGGCCCAGGTGTTCCTCCTCGCGTCCTTTTTGACCAGAGGCTGCTCCAGGCAAAAGCGCTGAAGGAAGAGCCAACACACGTCGCGCCCTAAAGGCCCACGGTTTGAAGCCGCGCGTGGGCCTCCTGCTCGTACTTCTGGCCAAAGCAAGTCTCATGACCATGCCAGATGTCAGAGGGTGGGAAAATATACCCGCCCCCCCCCCATAGAAGAACCTCAGGCAGGTGAGGCTAAGAAGGGTAGAGGCCCTGGAACCACTGTGCGACATAGCCCAGAACCCAGAACCCACAGGACTAATAATACCGGGAAGGCAGAACCTGTGGTGGGAGACATCCACACAGCTCTTGGCACTCCAAGGAAGGAGCACCCCTGGGGTCGTGACCCTGGAACGGGGCTCAGCACGGCTTCAGCCCAGAGTTCAGCCTCAAAGCATCTTCCGAAACCAGGTCAGAACGTGTGCTGTGAGGAAGGGTCCCTGTGCCCCTTCCTAGAGGGAGTGGCAGTGTGGTGTTCAAATAGCAGGCTTCCAGAACCTTCTGGCCATTTATAGGTACTGACCATATAGGTTATACCAATCTGGGGCACGTCCCAGTAGAAGGGAGGAGGGACACCTGTCTACATTGCTGAAGGCAGGTCTTGCCAGACCCCAGCCCCTTCCCCGGGAGTGGTGCTCACATCCTCTGGGGACCCCCGGCCCCATACTGCGCAATGTGGTAGGAAGAGCTGTGAGCCCCGGGTCCTGGCCTTGGATAACCAACGCACGGCCTGCCACTCCCCACCTGTGGCCCATGTCTCTGGCATTCGGGGCAGTGGAGGACTGGTGGGGAGTGTGCCCATGGGAAGGGGCGGACCCCAGTCGGTGCCCCCTCCCAGCCCCCCGTGCCAGGAGCGGGCCTTGCCAGGCTGCACCGCGGAACTGCACTTCCCGGGCTTTTAGGGGAAGATACGCTCGTGAATAATTCAGCCTCTCACTGAGCTAAAAACGCCCTAATAGACTAATGGACTCCCTGCCTCCAAGCTCGACCCTCATGGGGCGCGTCTCATTCACCAATTGCTTCTAAGTCCGACGGTGACACTTGCTAATGAAGCAGCCGCTGGGGCAGAGCCTTAGAGCATCTGGTGAGCCCTAGTCAGCCAGGCTGTATCCCTGTTAAGGAGCAGACGCCAGGAAGGCAGGTGAGTGGCCCCTCAGCTCCAGGAGTCTGGGGACGGCCGCCTTCTCGGGGTTGCTGCTGGGGGACCAGCAACATTCCGTTCCATCCCAGGAATGGAAGACACAGAGAGCCTGTATGGGGGCTGAATTTGGCTGATCTGAAATTAGATGACCCTGTATATTTTTTCAAAGCAGAAAACCTCAAAAAAAAAAAAAAAAAGAAGAAGCAGCAGCCGGGCCTAGGTAGCTACAAGGTGACAGTGGGAGGAGGGGAAGGGTGGGCCTTGTGCTGCTTGAGCGTGCTTGCCTCCCAGACCTGCCGGCTGGGGACCGTCTGTCTTCCCGTCCCAGGGAGACCTGGGCGTCCGGCTTCACCACGAGGATTCAGCATTGTGGGGGCTTCCCGCGAATGACAGCAGAGTCGGGGTGGGGGACTCACTGGGGCCTCGGTTTGCTGCCTGCTGTCCAGCCAGGTGGCTTTGCTTTGCTGTGATGCGCTGCCGTGCATTTTCGAGCCGCGCCCCAGAATGATGCAGCTTTCCCCTTGCATTCCCGCTTTCGGAACTTGCGCTGGTTTCTCGAAGACCGAGACCCATGTCTCCGTGTAAAAGAGCCCTTCGGGGTTCCTTCCGAACCTCACCTGTCAGGCTGTGGTGGCTTTCGGTAAACGCACCACGCAATTCAGAAACGCCAGGTGGTTGGCCCTTGGGGGAGGTCGAGGGCCCAGCTGACTTAATGAGGTCGATGCCTCCCCTTCGCTTTCCCGTGTCACGGTGTTCCGTGTTCGTTCACGGGAATCCCCCCGAGCCCTCCCTCCACCAGAATCGATTTGCAAAATGTGGTCTGTGGTGCCAGGGAGAATCTGGGTGCCTGTAACTCATTATGGCTATTGAGTAAGGGGCTAGGTTTTCTTGAGATGGCGTGGGGGGCCGGATGGTGAGGAGGAGGAAGAACGCGAGGTCAAAGTCAATGCGCCCCTGAGCCCTGAAAAGCAAGGGGCCGGAGGCAGGAGCCCCGGCAGTGGGCCCTCCCTTCTCCCTCCCTGTCTTCCCGAGGCCCCTTCTTCCAGCCACCCCAGCGGGTTCCAGTCACCTTGAGAGGAAACCAGGAATAATCCCCAGCATGAAGAAGTCCCGAGGGCCAGACTGTCCTCTCCCGTGGGCAGACCATCAGAGCACCTCTGTGCCTTCTGTGTCCGTCCTCCTCAGTGGGGTCTTGCCTCCCTGGGAGGAGAGGAGGAACATTTCCCAGCTCTTCCCCCACAGTGAGCCCTCGTGGGCACCAGTCCTCACTCTGCCACACCCAGCCAAGGCCACTACGCTTGTCCACACCCCACCTCTCTCAGAGTCCCCTGGCCAGAGCCAGTCCCGGCGTCCGGGGGACACTCGCCACCGTGCTGCAGGTGACACCCACAGGCCCACACCCAAGGTCGCTGTGAGGTGTGCTATAAGGAAAGATCACAAGCAGAGGGGACCCCAGCTCCCACAGAGAGGGCACCCTCTAAATCCTGGCTGTACCCTGCCTGCCTGCACCCATCTCGTTAGGAATGCGTGGTCCGTGCAAGACCAGGGTCAACCACCAATGCCGGCTTTCATGCTGTCCAGCCTTCCCTACTCATGTTCGGTATTGGCAACACTCCCTGGTAGCATTCAAGCCTGTGCTCCCCTGTGCCCACTCCGGGGATCTGCCCTGCCCTCTGGCCTCTGTCCTCTCCACCCCACTTTTCCTAACTGGTGTCCCAACTGATGGCAGCCGCTTCCCCACCCGCAGCCGACTCCCAGCTGCACCGCCAGCCCCCGACCAGGCTCGTCTGCTCAGCTGGTACAATCAGCCTCTGCTCGTCCCACTTCACAGACA